CGATTACTACCGATTACTTTATGGAACGAGCCAGAAGCCTATTCGGATGCTATATAAAAAATGTACGCCAGATTTGTTGACCATAACAATCATCAAACCAGTTCACTTCATGGGCTTTTCAGATAATTATGTTCGGGGTAAAAGCTATAGTAGAGATTGCTAAAACCAGATCCAAGAGACAAATACCAAATATCAGAATAAAAAATTAGTTTGTGTTTAATGAAAGTAGACACTAAAATTTATGAATGATTACTAAACGAAATGCCTTATTTGGGAAAAAATTCTTTTGACTCCTGCGTATGAGACTTATACGTAAGTAACGATGTCAAATATTAAAGGCTCTTAGTCTACTCTTTGAAGTTACTCCGTTAAAGACATGCAACGACCTAAAAATAGAGTGTAAAGTAAGATTAATCAGTTCAATTTTAGTTAGAAACAAGAGGTATTCGCATTTTCTACAAGTCACCTTGTCAACCATAATCTTATATTATTTTCCTCATAAATTCATGATTTTAAGGTCTTGTTGCTTATATCTCAAATTCTTTTCTTTACCTGGTAGCTGTTTCCGGATTCAACGTTTCTTCTACTAGCTATGCGCCTAAATTATACTTTTCCTAAACAATTTACGAGGTATAATAGTTACCTATCTTCCAAGCTTTAGTGTCTAATTTATATTTCAGCCCATAGCCCCAACAATATAGTCATAAACTTGAATATTATCTCTACATTTATAATAGGCTATAAAAGTTGTGATATAAAGGCCCAGATGTTGTGGCCTCTGGTATGGTCGCAGACCAAGTTGCGAAAATGAGGTCAACCCATTTCTATAAAAATTGTGATTATCATTGAAGAAGGCATTAAAAGTGTGGTTGTTTGTGTTTTTGGATAGTGAGGAGTTGAAATCTAAATGTATTATCATATTCTAACATTTTCTTTCTCTACCTACCCGCAAAAGCATCTTGGATTCCAATTCCTGTTTGGACTGCTCTAGACGGTCATCATAATTGTTCTGAATGTCATGAATAACTCTTGCCAGCTCATCTTGCCAAAGTTCGCGGTCTGGCATGTCCCGTTCGTCCTTAACCATCTCTTCCAAACCACGCACCTCTTCGTCGTGCTTTCGACGCTGGAAGTCAAGCTCCTCACGAAGGCTTTGCATCTCCGCTTGACAAGACATTCGCCGAGCAGTCTCATCATCTTGATTCTACCCCAGAGTTTAAAAATGGAAAAATAGCATAAGTGATTCAGATACAGGAAATAAAAAACATTAAAAATGAGCAAGAAGAGTTACAATTTATTTTACAGTTTAACGGACGGGCTCGGTGAGAATAGACTGTATTTGCTGTTTTGGCAGTTCACATCCACAACTTTTGAATATTACTTGTCTCTGGTGCGTTATATATGGCCCCATACCTCTGCCCATGATATCCACCTTTTGAACTCAACTATTAATTACCTTGAGAGATCATGAAGTATCTTTACTACTCTAAATTTATCACATGCCTTGGCTTTTTCACTATCATACGATTAAAGTCCTAAATCTATAAATAATGGATCATCTTCCAGCTAAGTAATCTTAAAACGAGGCCTGAAGAAACAATTTCAAAGCCCAACAGGTACTAGTAGTACAGATTCTGTGCAATCACAGTTCTAAAATCCAATCAGACAAGACTTCTAAAGCTATCTATCGCTTTATCACCGAGATATAATAATTGTACAAAACGCGACATTTAATCATATGAATGCAAGACATTTCTGGATATTGTGTTAAATTTTACTTGATCACTCAATTCACAAATTCAATCTCATCCAGGATGGACTGCGGCTTCGATCCCGCCTAGGTCTAGAATGTGGACGCTCAAGATAAGTGGTAATTGAAAGGAATCCTAATTTAAGTCCATCCTAGACTCAAAATGGTCTGAGGGATGCACTACAAA